CACACACACACACACACACACACACACACACACACACACACACACACACGCCAGACACACTCCATCCTCACCTTGCAGGGTGGGGTGGCCCTCCTGGTGGCTCTTGGCATGGTCAGGAGGCTCCTGTCATTTCCAGGCAGGGTGCCTACTGGCCTGTGAGCTCTGTCCATGCACCAAAATGGGGTCCTTTGTAGAGCGGTCTTGGGGGTCTTCTGCTGTAATGGGTAAAAACAGGGGCGAGTCAGTCCCCCTACCCATAACCACCTCGGGCATAGGTGATTTTCTGAATACATCGCTTCTGGGTTTTATCAGTACTGTGAAGGAGGCAGTGTGGAAATGAAAATTCCTCCCAAACTCCTATCCATGAATCACCAGCCCTGGAAGCCAGGGAGCTGTCATTCCCATCCGGCTGGCCGACTCAGGGAGAACTGTGTGAGGACGGAGCGGCTGGAGTGTGGCCTGGAGCATGGGGCCATGACCTCACATTTAATTCAGCCCAAGTGGGCAGGTCACCCTGTGAGTCTCCTTTTATTTTTGAAGATCTATATTTACCCAGCTTGGAGCTGGGCCATGTAGAAATCTCCGCCGCTCCTGTGCTTCTTAAAAAAGTTTTCAAACTTGGAAAAACAGAACCATGTCTTCCCTCCCTCCCTCTCCAGCTCCTCCTTTCTCCTAGACGCGTGCCCACGGTCCCCTGGGTTTCTAGGTGTGTTTGTTTTGCCAGCTGCATTTTTGGCAGCGTGGTGGGGAGGGCCGTACCCCAGGCTGGGCTGGTGACTTCAGTCCGCTGGGACAGTTTGGGCAGACCTGGCTTTTCCTCTTGCCCTGGGGGCTGTCGGAGAATTTTAGTCCTTTCCAGCCAGTGCCCACGGCTGGAATGCTGTAGCTAGAGTGACAGTGCCGTGTTTGGCATCATTTTTTCCCCTTCTTCTGCTAAGTTTAAAAAAGGAATCCCTGAGTGGTGCAGATGGTTAAGCTCTGGGCTACTAACCAAAAGGTTGGTGGTTTGAACCCACGTGGAGTCGCCTTGGAAGAAAGGCCTGGTGTCTGCTTCTGAAAGGTCACAGCCTTGAAATGGAGCACAGTTCTACTCTGCAACACACGGGTTTACCCTGAGTTGGAATCAACTCGATGACAACTGGTTTGGTTTTTTGGTTTAAGTTTAAAAAGTCCCTGGGGTTAGAGGGAGCAATTTATGTCCACAAAATATTTGAACACCATTCATCCAAGCGTAGAGACCTAGGGGCTCAGGAAGCAGTGGATGGAAAATGGATGAACTTGGGCTAAGGGGTGTGTGCAGTTGATACTCAGGGTTGTGGACCAAGCAGTGCTCCAGGTCCTCTGCCCCCATGGGACTTCAGGCTTCCCCTTACCTCTGTGCAGACTGCATTGAAGCCACTCCTTGTTTACTTCCAACAGAAGTGCACCTCTCTGGAAAGTTCCGTGACTATGGGGTGACGGTGCCCTGCAGCACAGATTTTCGGGGACGCTTCCTCTCCCATGTGGTGTCCAACCCAGCAGCAGTCTCTGCAAAAAGCACGGTGGTGGGTAGACCACCCGCACCACCATCACACTCCAGGCACCGCCGGGTGGCTCGCAGTCCCCTGCACCCCAATGGAGAGAGCCTGCAGCCTGGCAGGGTGGGACGCCACTCCCTCTACTTCAACGTCACTGTATTTGGGAAGGAACTACATCTGCACCTGCGGCCCAACCGGAGACTGGTGGTGCCGGGAGCCTCCGTGGAGTGGCAGGAGGACTTCTGGGAGCTGTCGCGGCAGCCCTTATGGCAGGAGTGCGTCTACACCGGCGGTGTCACAGGCATGCCGGGGGCAGCTGTTGCCATCAGCAACTGCGATGGATTGGTAAGGGACGAGCCGCTCGTCAAGCTGTGTTCCCCGCACCCCCCCCCCACACCCCCACCCCTGCCCAGGCCTGGCCAGCTGAGTCAGGCCGACGTGGTTTTCTCCTTGGCTGCCCTGTGTTTGGGATTCCTGTGGGTACGCTGCAGTCGGGGCCAAGTCACGGGCTGCGCTGCCTTCCAGAGAGAGGCCCGCACACTCAGCCCGATGTCAAGTGGCTGAGCTGGGATGGTTCCTTTTTCTCGTCCATTCCCTCGTCATCCATGGGATCCATCTGGACCACAGCTTACCTGGCTGGGAACTTTGAGCCCAGACAAACCCAGGGGTTAGGAAGGCGGGCTCTGGTGACTGACTGCTGAGGTTGGAATCCTGCTGAGCCACTTGGTAGTTATGAGGACTTGGATAAGTTACTTAACCTCTCTGTGGTTTTTTCCTTTATGCACGAAATGAGGATTTATTTACTCACTCTGCACATATTTACTGCATGTATCCTGTGTGCCCAGCACTGTCCCAGGCCCTGGGGGATATGGTAGTGCCTGGGCAGATGCAGTCCCTGCCCGCATGGCGCTGCTGTGCTGGTGGGAATGATAGGAACTACCTCGCTGGCGGCGCGTCGGGGGTGGCTCGTGCCTGGCACGTGGTCAAGGCTCTGTCTGCATTAGCCACCGTTATTATTCTCACTGTTACTTCCTTCTTCTTCTCCTATGGATCTGCCTTCCCAAAGCCTGCGGGCTGGTTCTGACAGCTCTGATGTTCCCTTTCTTAGCACCTCTCATTCCTCCCAGGCTCTGGGAACACCCCCGGCCAGCTGGCTCCAGGCTGCAAACCAGAAAGCCGTGGAGTGAGTCCTCTTCGTCACCCTCAACTCACGTTAGGTCTCCTTCCCCTAGCTGCCTGTCCTCGGGGCAGTGGGGGTTAGGCCCTTGAGAGCCTGCGTGGCAGTCCCTGAGCCCCACTGGGCAGCTCTTCCCGTGGTTTCTACTTTGCCAATGACAGCAGGTATGAGCTAATGTTCCCCAAGAAAGAACCTGCTTGTCCTCTGCCATTCAGCTTTAAGAGGGGTGAGTCAGATGGGGAGGCTGATAAGGGGGGGGTCCTTCCTCACTGGCAGGGCTGGCAGAACTTCTCTCTGTCTTCCATTCTCAAGAGGTGTCTTGCTGAATATCGTGGCCGCCTTTGTTTAGGCCAGCGTTTCCCAACCCTTTTTTTCATTATCATCCCCCTAAGGAGGCTTTTGGGGGCACTGATTATTCAATGGTAGAATTTTTGCCTTCCATGCCAGAAACCTGGGTTCAATTCCCAGCCAGTACACCTCAAGTGTGGCCACCATCTGTCTGTCATTAGAGGCTTGTGTGTTACTATATGCTGAACAGGTTTCAGGGGAGCTTCCAGACTAAGACAGACTAGGAAGAAAGGCCTGGTGATCTACTTCTGAAAATCAGCCAGTGAAAACCCTATGGATCACAATGGTCCAATCCTCAACCAATCATGGGGAAGGCACAGGACTGGGCAGCGTTTCATTCTGTTGTACGTGGGGTCCCCATGAGTCTGGTGCTGACTTAACAGCAGCTAACAGGAACAACAAGGAGACTTTTTAGGCATTTTTTCCCTAATCATCCCTGCATCATGGCATTTTAATACTAGCACTCCAGTCTCTGCCTCTGTCATCACATGGCACTTTTCACTCTGTGTCTCTTCTCCTCTTTTTATAAGGACATCAGTCAGATTAGGTCCCACTCTGTTCCTCTATAACTTCAAGTTAACTAATAAAAATCAAAAACCCAATTTCCAAACAAGGATACATTCATACCTACAAGGGGTTAGGACTTCAGCATATCTTTTGGGGGGACACATTCAAGCCATAACACCTCTGCTTTGTAGTAAGTCAAGTTCCTGCCTCCCTAGCAGAGGGGAGACCCCACATGTAGTAGTTTTAACATCTACTTGGTTGGTTTTCCAGGACACGATGGGTACTCAGTAAATGGGAATGATAATGATTTTTGGTATCAGAGGTGGTCATATTTGAATTGGGCCTTGACGGATGAGTAGAAGTTTGCTGGAGGCAGAAGATGGGGAGTGACCTCTCCTAGTCAGAGGAAAGCTTGAGCAAGAGAGTGATGGTTGGACAGAGGACGGAGCACCCTGCCTGACGGGGTTGGGGAGTGGATCCCAGAAAATGTGCTGGGCAGATGGGCCTTGGTCTGACCTTGAAGGAAGGGGAGAGAGGGTGTGAGGCAGGGATGGACCAGCCTACTATAGGAAAAGAGGCTGGGCTGGGAGTTGGGAGATGTTTTGCATGGCTGTGTGACCCCGGGCAAGTTGCCCTCTCTCTCTGGGCCCCACTTGCCTCCTTGGTGCCTGGAGGAGGCTGGAATGGATGAGATCAGACCCCTTCCAGCTCTGATATTGGCACTTTCTGACCATGGGGCAGGCCTGGCTGGAAGGTTGAAGCCTGGCCTCTGTAAATGGACTCCTCCCTGCCCTGCAGGGTACTGGGGGCCTGCTGGCACCAGGCCTGGGCAAGTCTGCAGGTGCAGAGAGGATGGAGAACTTCCCTGTAAGACTTGGTCTGAACAAACCCCCCTGTGTGTGGACAAGTCATTGAGTCAGAATCGCCTCGATGGCAATGGGTTTTGGTTGGGTGTGGACAAGACTTGCTGCTACTTGGCTCTTTGCTGCTCTAGTGAGAAGTGCGGTGTCTAAACTGGAAGCTTTATCTTCGTATCCAACTGGAACCTGCAGTGGTGGGGAGAGACCATCATCCTCCGCTTCTGCGGTCTTGTACAGTCGCTCGCCCTTGGACCCCGGAGACCGATGCTGGGTAGGGTTGTGTGTAGTGTGGTAATTCAAGCCTAAGAGTGATCTCTCTTCCCACCCACTTTTCTGGAGAGCCTTGTGTGTGTCACAGCTGGTGGTGTTGGGAGGGAGAGTGAATTCCAGGAATGAGGAAGCCAGAGTCCCTGTCCTGGATGAGTTCCTAGGCTAACTGGGGTCCCAGACATGGAAGCAGACAGATTACAATCCTGTGAGGGGCAGCAGCAGCAGGACCTATTTATTTTGGTTAGGGCATCTAGGAAGGCTCCCTGAAGGAGGAGGCATTGGCTCAAGACTGTTCAAATATTATAAATATGAGAGAGAAGTTTTGGGTCCCTGGCCAGCAGAGAGAGTGACTGACCCAGGTAGGTCTGAGGATGTTTGGGGCAGGAAATAAGGGGTGTGAGGGAGGCCCAGTTCTACTCAAAATGTTTCCTGTGGGATCAGGGGCAGCTACTCTGGGATGCTATCAGGCCTGAGGGTCCCCAGATTGAGAAGCACCCCGATGGGCATCTTTTCACAGAGCCTTCCTTAGGGTGCCTGCCAGTCAATCCAGGGGTCCTCCCCATGCCCTGTGACCCCCAACCTCTGTGAGTGCCTGTGGGCAGGGAGGGCCTGTGTTTTCTTGGGTCTCCTTCAGACGCTTTGTCAGTGTTTGTGGCTCTGGATTCCTGGGAGGAACGTGGGGACCTGAGGTGGGGGCCAGTTCTTTGTGGGTCCTAGAGGGAGTGTGGGGAGCAGGGTTCAGCAGAGAGGGGTCCCCACTCCCGGCTGAGGCCATGTGATCCCTCCTGCAGGTCTGCCTCTCGGTGTCCTGGCCTGCCAGTCCGTGCACTGGCGAGATCAAGGCTTGGACGCTCTGTGCTTCCCCCTTTGCTTCCAGAGCCTTTGTGAGTCACGGGCCTGGCGCGGGAGCAGCCACACGTGTAGGATTTGTCACCATCTGGTTCCTCTTTCCCCTCTGCAGATCCCACATTTTTGACGGGTTACATGAGCGGAGCCCTGGCAGGCTGCGTTGGAGATGGGGGGCTGGCCCCCAGGCCGGCGTCTTCCAGCGAGTCACGAACTCTCTCAGCTCCTTTTGTCTCTAAAAGAGATCACCTCAAAGGGGCTGGGGACTGACGGCTAAAGGGTGTGGGGTTTCTTTCTGGGGTGATGAAATGTTCTAAAATGGACTGTGGTGATGGTTATACAACCCTAAATATACTAAAAACCATGGAATGGTACACTGTCAGTGGGTGAATTGTATGGCATGTGAGTTAGATCTCAGTAAGCTGTCACCAAAAAATAAGAAACAAAACAAAAACCGGGATTGCAAAACCTTCTCGTGGGGTCGCTGTGGACGTTAATGGTGTTACATACATAAAGTGCCTGGCCTGCCTCAAGGTGCCGGTGAAAGGCATTGTGAGTATAACTCCGAGGAGGCAGTCTAAGCCATTGCTGTGGAGTCCATTCCGACTCACAGTGACCTTGCAGGACAGAGTAGGACTGCCCCATAGGGTTTCCAAGGCTGTAAATCATTATGGAAGCAGACTGCCACATCTTTCTCCCGTGGCGGATTCGAACCGTCAACACTTTCAGTTAGCAGCTGAGCGCTTAACCACTGCACCACCAGGGCTCCTTGGAGGCAGTCTAGGGTGGTAGAATGCATGGGGTTGTCGTTTTACTCTGGTACAGACCAGCTGTGTGACCTTCAGTAGTTTCTCGATCTCTCTGTAAGGAGAGGAGAAGAGCAACTGTCTAAGGTTGTCCTGAGGATTAAATGAGATAATAAAAAGTGCAGGATCTGGTATATGATGGGGCCTTAAAATGGGGGTTATTTCAGTGCTCGCTATTAGTAGTTAACAGTAGTGATAAATACTAAAAATAGTGTTAGAGTCCCTCACACTGTGCAAGTACGTACACCATTAGTGTCATTGCCTTGAGTTGTGTGTCCAGAAACTGAGGCCGCCTCTGGTTCCTAGGCTGGCCAAGCCCTGTACCCTTCTGCCCCGGTGGGTTTTTTGCAGAATGCTCGTGCATGGGAGAGTATCACCATTGGTCTGTAATATCCTCAGAAGTCTCCTAGGGCAGGGGAGTGCTGAGAAGTGCCAAGTGGAGCATCTGTAGGTCCCTGCCCCAGGCCAACCCGGGGCTATAGGGATGAAACTCACCCCTCCGTGCCCATACTTCAGGAGCCCACAGCTGAA